CCGCCCCTGGGCCTAACTCTTCATTCTTTCTGTTATCTGGCCCGCTGTGAAAAAAAAAAAAGTTTGGTGACCCCTCTTCTAGAATATCATGACGTGTTTACTAGTGTCACGTGACTTCCGTTGTCGTAACACTAATTTAATTTGCTACAGGCTATGTTCACTTGTACGTCTAACTTCACAAACGATGTTTTAAGAGAAATTCCTAGCCTAATAGCACGCCTAGCTACAAATAAAGTGACTTTCATAATTCATCTCTTATTGAACAATAAAAAACACGCTAAATAAATCAGTGATCATCTTACCAGCTGGATCACATACCTGAATAATTTACTCACTGGCACTAAACTGATTCAATCATTGTTTCACAGATTGACTGACTAATTCATTGATTCTGATATTTCTATTGTATCCTTTTTCTATATGACCTGATGAAGCTCCCTCAAGAAAACAAACATCTAAATTATAATGTTGAACATATAGTTCACAACAATATTAATCCAGAGAGAAAGTAGCCACAAGCCAGCCACCAACAGGACTCAGTGCAATTTGCTTTATGGAATAACAGGATTGATTGCCATGTTTATATCTGAAACAGTAAATGCACGTTCTCGCCATAATCCAAATGGAAAAAAAAAATGTAGTTGATTTGAATTGGGCTTATAATTTAAATTTTCCCTTATAAGATAAACATTAATAATACACAAGTTTTAGCTTGTGACGAACTGAAATACACAGAAAAAAACAGTAACGATAAGTTATTTAGTATTAGAAACTACAACAAATTGAAAAACCCTGACGATCCTCCATGGCATAAGTATAGGTTTAGATATGTGTTTAGCAATATTTTTTGTGTTTTTCTAACTATGAAAAAACGTGTTTTTATACTGACTGGTGCTTGATTAGTACATAAATCTTAACGAATGGTGCGAGTTAAGTTTTACATACATTACAGTGAACAATATGTTTTATAATATGATAGTATTTATAACCCAGTTCAAACTCCCCGCCACGTGTAACATTAAGTGCAGTTACATAAGATAGTGTTTCCGTTTTCTCTGGGTGTGTTGACTGTCGTATATACAGACCCATCCGATTTCAGAATTGGGAATGGGCCAATACGACGTTGAGTACACCAAAACAGGGTTTGGTGTGGCTGAATCTGGGATGTGACTTAGTCACAAGTTAGATTAAAGTGTTAATTTAAGTAAAGAATCAACAGCCAATTCGTTCTTTGCAAATTTTAGTGTAAAACACGTTTCGTTTATAATTATAATAACAACTCAGAAGTTAATGAAAAAATAACTTTTTTAAATTGATTAGCCTAAAAACGTCATTCGTAAACTTATAATAATATTGGTTATTATTATTAAAATATTAATATTTTCTCTTGAATATGGCTTTGAACGGATGTTACAATTGTTTAAAATATTTAGTAATTGTATTCAACCTCTTGTTTTGGGTGAGTAATTAACAGTACTATTGATACTACTATTATTATTAATACTAAATATTAGCTGTACTAATGTAATTTGTAAACAGTAAAGTGTAATTCTTCTACAACTTGCAAGTAACTAACTAAATTAAGTACTAGTTCGGTAGTTGTAGCCTAACTTCCTTGACTTGACATTTATTTAGAGGTAATTACCTTATTCGTGTATTCAGTATATGTGCATTATGTATGTACCCCTAAATTTCTATTCGCTTTCAATTTAATACTAGAAACTGACCAATTGATATCATGAGTGACTTACCAATCACCACTCCAACTCAAACTTAGCCAGTCACGCTACTGAGTTGTTTCCCATCTATATTATAAAAGTATTATTAAAACGTGATTCAGTTATATTTATAATAACCCATGTACATTGGCTTCACTTACTTACTATAGTATAAATACTAAATAGTATAATTAATGGTTATTTGCCAGATATGTGACCAACAAATCAAATAATTTCAGTCATTCTGTAATACCCCCCAGTGACACAGCAGTATGTCTGTGGACTTGCAATACTAGAAACTGGGTTTCGATACTCATGGTGAGCAGGACACAGATAGCCCATTGTGTAGCTTTTTGCTTAATTACAAACAAAATATTCTGTGATATCTCAACACCTTTTGGAACAACTACTAGAAATACTAAATAGTTTAATGTCACCTGCAGACTTTATTAACTATGCCCCTATCAGTATCATTAACATAAATAGGGAAATGTTCAAATACTGACCCCTAAAGCACTTCACTAGTAATAAGGGTCCAGTTTGATTGGACCTCATTAATTACTTTCTATCATTCGACTATCAAACTTACTCCCAACCCTCACCAGATGAATTTTCTTAGCTAATATTTTGTGTAACACCTCATCAAAAAATTTTTCAGAATCTAAGTACACTAACATTTTAAGCCATTTTCATTATCTAGAAAAAATTTAATGCATCGGTAATGTATGATTTCTCTTTAGTGATTCTGTGTTGATTTTCTTTTAGTATACCATATTTTGCTTGAATGGTCTTTTTTTTTATCAGCTGCCTAGAGTATTTCCCACTATAAAAGTAAGATGAAACTGCTCTTTAATTTTCAAGCAACTCTTTTTCATCCAATATTAAAAATATAAGTAACATTAGTAAAGCTATGCAGTTTAACTCTGTTGACATAATCTATTGTATATGAGCATTGATTGCATTAATTAGTGTTATGTAAAACAATTGGTTAATTGAAGTTATGATTAAATTAATGTCACAACAATAAACAAGTAGTCAAAATTGTTTTCAGTTATTACTGTTTTAGGTTATTTCAATTATACAAGTAATCAAAATATTGACATTATGATTTTCCAGTATTATCTATAATTTAAGTTAAATCAATTAATGTCACAACTTACAAAAAATAATCAACTAATCTAAATTAAAATTTCTGATTGTTACCATTTTCAATTATTCCAACTACACAAGTAATTAGCATATTATCATTATAATTTTTCTATTTTTTTCAACTCATTCAAATTTGGCTTTGGGCTGACAATTATTGGTAATTATCTCCTGGTTTGAGAGTGTCAGGTTTAATTGACAAAATTCTAAACATACCAGCACTTCCAGTCACATGAATGTTATGTTTGTTTTTGACTTGTGGCAAAGTTGCTATCGGTGAACCCGAAAAAAACACTTAACGTGGCACACAGTTTTTCCTCGTACATTTATCATTTCTTTGACATTTTTGGCTAAAAAAAACAACTGCAAATTGAATCTTTAAAGACTAGCTTTCATTATATGTAATTAATCAATCTTTTCATTTTAAAAATATTTCAAATTTTCTTTAAGTATTCAAAATATATTACATCTGAAAATGGCATGATATTTGAACATAACTTTGTACAATAATATAAGATTATCACTATTTGAAAACAAATAGAAATATATTTGAGTGAAAAAATGCTTAAACTTGCCAGTCATGACTGATTTTGTGAAGTGGTTGGTCTGCATGTTCTCTTTATTAACATGGACAAGTGATTACAGAAATAGAAGTGACTGAACAGTTTAAGTGATTCTGGCTGTAGGGCTATTTGTATGAATGGTTACAATATTGTAGAAATAATGATACCAGTTGCCGCTCCTCTGATGTATTGGGTTGACCTTAATGTGTGAGAATAATTGATTAGTTGAATGTAATTGACTAATGAGTGATTATTAATCTATTAACAACTTTTACTAATTGCCCTAAATATTGGCAGTCCTTCTTTCCTCGGGTACCTGTCCACTGCTTGTCAAAAATGGAAAACTTTGTCTGGTCCTGGTGTTTTATCTGTTTAAATCATTTAAAACTTTTTTCCCCCTTTTTACCGCATTTAGGTAATTCAGGTCAATTCTGATATTTTTCATAGAATGCTTAGGGCCAGGAATATTTCTAACATCCTCTTGTCAAAACAGAAAAAAAAATAAAAATCAGTTATCTCACTGTCTTCCACAAAAAACCTTGTGATCAATATCCTTTAAGGACCCAATCTGCATTTTAACATTTTTCTTACATTTAACATAGCTAAAATATTTGTGTATAATATTGAATGATGAATTTGATAAAATTTCATAATATTGTTCACACACCTAAATCAACTTAGGTTACTATATGGTGAAGTGAAACAGACTTAAGCCCTATAGATATTATATACACTTCATCATTATAAGAGGCCTTATGCTATTTCTTTGGTTTGCTGGCTCAAGCTGTACTGATAAACCTTGAATAGGTGAAATTGCAGTCTTAGGCAGAGGGTACAACCATTCGAAGAATGCATTAGGCATCTGTGTCAAAAATTCACTTTTCAATGTCATTTTGGTGGAAAAGAAATCTTTAACATATATATATACAGTCATTAAATGGTTTGTCTGCTGTATAATATTGAATAAAGAATTTGATGAAATGTCAGTGTTATTCACACACCTAAATTAAGTTGTTCTTAACATTCTGTATTAAGAACAACTTAATTTAGGTTAAGTTTAGTTATTCATAGGGTTAGCTGAGTCAATAAAGATCACAGTGTTCTCCGTTAGAAAAGATTGCTGTAGTATGTGATACATTCACATAGCGACAGTGGTTGTTTCTTTTGTTAAATAGGATAGTGTTTTAAAGGCTTTGACATCCCCTCAAGGCCTAGTCTTAATAATATTGTTATTTCTTCTGGTTTTAAAGTTTGACTTTTTAGTACATTATTTTTTTAAATTGAAAAATATTAATTTTAGTCACTGTTAAGTTATACCAAGTATATATAAACACCCTTTGATGTAGTAGACCTCTTGTTTTGTTTCCAAGTTAGACCTCTGTTTTGTTGTAAATGGTATTATGCAACTTTCTAAGAGTAGAGTTCTATTCCTTAGGATAACTAGATATAAAGAGCATAAGTATGACTGATCATTGCTTAAGTAAGTTCTAATCAAATAAATATAATGTAACAGTTATCAGTGTAAAATTAAACATTTGTTTTTAGGTTGTCATTGGTCTTCGTTTAGAAACCATTCATGATGTATCAACAATACTTTGTTGTAATCAAGAAGCAATTGACACTTTCACAGTATATTGTAATTTATTTATTTTCTTTAAAATACAGAGCATCATCTTGTAAGTAGTTCTTGTGTCCATTTTAGTTCAAATTATAATTCTTATAATTAAATAACTTTCAAATGTAGATCTTTAATGTTGGTAACATAACATTGAGATACTTATCACAATAAAACGTATAATAATGTACTTACCAGCCTGTGTTTTCAAGAGTTATTTAAATGATTATTATCTAAAAACTGATCTGTCTTAGCTAATGAGCTTTGTGCATTATTGACTTATAGGACATTAGCCAAAAGAGAGCTCTTTGGTTTCTCTTGCTTTAGTTATTCACAAGACACGCTGAGTCAACAAAGATTACAGTGTTCCCTATTAGAAAGAATTACTGTAGCATGTGATATAATCTCTATTGATCCCACAAATAATCTTGTAAATTTTAATACCAAAATAGTACACAGTATTCCAAGTAAGGCCTTACCAGTGATTTATATAGAGAGATAATTAATTCTTTTGACTTGTGCTCAATATATCTAAAATACACTTTAAAATCAGTTAGATTTACTACTAGCACAGAACACTGCTTTGATGGCTTGAGTTATCCACCACTATTCCAAGGTCCATATCTTCAGCCATGCTAGAGTTGGTTCTCATCTTTATTAAATGTTATCTAACTTACCAGTTATTCTGTAGTTCATCAATACAGCTAGAAGTACTCAACAGTTTAATATAATCAAGAATCTTTACTAATTATGCCATTATCGATATTATTAATGTAAATAAGGAAGAGAAAATGCCCCAAGCACCGATCTTTTAGGTACTCCATTAGCAATAAGTGTCCAGTTTGAATTCATTAATAACAACCTTTTGCTTTCTCCCATCCATCAACCTTGTTTTTTTTAAATGTATGTGTACCAACTCTACACCCTTTTCTTTCTACAGATAAGAAGTAACAGTTAAGATAAAAGTTACAAATTATTAAGTCGTCAAGAAATTAATGTAGCGTTTTAGAACACTTTCATTAGCCACCCCAAAAAACTGTACATCACGTCACGTTAATGTAGCCTATATAATATGTAAAGTTTAGTATACTCTAATCCCTTATAGTGATGGCACATGATGAGACACACATTCAGCATGTGATGCTGTTTGAATACAAGAAGGGAAACAATGCCTCTGTAGCCAGAAAGATTATCAAAGAAGTTTATGGAAATGTTTTGAACGTTCGTAAGTGTCAACAATGGTTCAGCAAATTTTGTTCAGGTGATTTTAGCCTTAAAAACTGTGATGGCAGGGGCCTACATGTTGGAATTTATATTGATGTTCTGAAGACACTTGTTGAGTATATCCCAATGCAACAAACTCGTGAAATGGCCTTGAAATTGCATCTCTCTCATGAAACAATACATAAACATCTGAGGAATATGGGAAAAACTCCATAAAGAAGGTGTTTGGGTGCCTCACGACCTCTCCAATGATCATTGTTTCCAGTGTGTGAATGTTGCTTCGTCTCTTCTGCCATATAATGCATGTGAACCATTTTTGAACACAGTTGTTACCAGTGATGAAAAATGGATTCTCTCTGCGAATATTAAATGCCAAAAACAATGGGTCAGTCCTAGACAAAAACCACTTCCGACCCCAAAACCTGGACTCCATCCATAGAAAGTGATGCTTTGCATTTGGTGAGACATCAAAGGAATAATTCATTTCGAACTCCTCAATCCACAGCAAACTCTCAATGCGGAGATATATAGTCAGAAACTGGAACGTTTAAATCAAGCCCTTCATCAGAAAC